ATGATTTGATCAATTAACAGTTTGTCTGGATTAAGGTATTAAGAGGTATTATTATGATGCAGATGCAGGGAACATTTAGTATATAAAAAAGTATTACAGATACAGGGAATACTTTTTCACTTATGTATATACCACTTTCTTCACATTTCATGGATAATCAGTATGTATTTAGATAAGTAGCATCAAATTTGAAAGTATGAAGTTTGCATCTCTATTGAGACAAAGAAAAAACATTTTAGAAAACATGTGTTGGAACTTGTTTTCAGAAAACTTGGAATGCTAACTAACAAAACAAAAACAACAAAAATGCCTCACTTCTAGGTCTTTCTCTGTAACATCAATGGTAATTTTAAAACTGAACTAGCTGAATATGACATTGCTGTTTCCATAATTTGGCTACACCATCCAAATGCTCTTTTGTAAACGTGGACAGATCTACTGAGGGAAAAGGGATGTAATTGGCTTCTCTCTTCAGTAAGAGCATGTGTGCAGGACATAAAAAAAGAATAAACATTTGGGTTGCGGCAGAGAAGTGATTAGAAAAAGCCAACCACTGCCAAAAATTGACTTTGAGTGATCGGAGCCATTGTGTCTCAGCTGGGGCCCTAAATGGACCTCATAATGTCATACATCCCAGCAGAACAAAATCACCTGGCAACATGTTGATTGATAGCAGGAGGCCACACTCCAGCGCATCAGCTCAGGCAGATTTATCCATCATTGGAATTTGGATTTGATAAGCCGTGATATGAGAAAATACAATCAGAGTGGCAGGGGATGCACCTGGGTGGGCTGACAGAGGGGATGTGCAAATGAGAGATGACATGGGATCCTGAATAGGTTTATTAAGGATAGCTGATATGGACAAATATCAAGTAGCACAATGACAAATACATGGGAATACACTTGAATGGGCATTGTGCCTGTAGAGTCTTATAATGTGCTGTCCATATTGTACAGTCCATTCAAGACCTTTTCTCTTTGTCATACTTGGATAAACTCTCAATCATATTCACCAGCCCTACTGCAGCAGAAGAGGACAAGGAATTCTCACTGTAAAAAAAATTGCTGAGGTTTGCCTGCCTTCCGGGCTGTTTGCTGTAGAGGGTGACAACTTAAATGGCTGATATAAAACCTGACACAACTAATCTATCATACATCCCATGCCTGTCTTATGGCATTCCTCCATTTAAAGGATGGTTTATTGTGCAGCCATAAGTCACTGTGTACAATATGCCAGACCGTGGCCTTGTGTGTTCACAGGTTTGCATGTGTTTTCTGAATTTAGAATATTTCAAGCACTAGTAATTTTATTTTTTTTTTTTATACAGTCTTTGGATAACCAAGCAGGACAACTAATAACCTTGGTTATTGAATCCATGTGACTTCTAATATAAGAAACTGAAGGATTAGATGTATTGAAAGTTGTTTCAAAGGTCTAAAAACAAAGGTCTAAAAACAAAAAAGGACCGGTTGTTCTATTTTGTACTATAGTATGTTTTGGCTTTAGGTGCATTTATATATATAAATCCTTTATTGTTTCTATAACAATTCCTTTAATCAACAATAAAACAAAAACAATTGTGATCAAGAGCATCCCTTCTCTGTTATCAAGATAAGAGACATGCCGTTTAACTTCTTAGCAAGAAAATCAGTGAAGCTTTGTAGAAAATCAGTGCAATTTTTTGTAAAACTATTTATATTAAAGCAAAATAGCTATAATCTGTCTTCAGTGTAAATATAATTTGGTTACGCTCTATCCAAATGCTCTTTCAGTGGCGTAGGAAGACACATGGTCCTTGGGGAAATAGGGTTTTTACAGTGCCCTGCAGTACCAGGTATATAACATGAAAGGTACATAATATTATGACAGGTTAAACCAAGCTAGCAAGGAGTTTTTTGCAAAAGGAAAAAAATGAATTGGACAGTGTCCTGTAGAAATACATTAGTGCTGCAGAATGGAGATCATAATGTGATTCAAACATAACAGCAGTTAACCTACTCATTTTACCAGTATGTTGTGGAGACTTTTACCTGCATCAGCATACTGGATGCTTGAAACTGAAGGTGAAACAAATAACATGACCTACTGTCTGATTAATATTGGCTAATATGTTTCTGTTTATAATAGTAATGCTGCTCATTAGGCATTCAAATGCATCTTCCAGGTAGTCATTGATATTTGAATAGAAGAAAAACAAAAGATAAAATACTGCATTAACCTCACAGTAATAATATACCCCATCCCAATGCAGCAGAAAATAGGGAATTTTACACCCTTGGTAACAGTCAAGCATTGTTCAGTTATCAGTATGAAAGTATACATTAGTCTTAGAAAGTTAAGGCTTTAAAACCGTGAAAATCTTTCCTCATTGCTTTACTACAGTATCTTCTCTGTTTTTTGTTTTTTTCCCCAGAAAAATTAATTGAAGTGTTCATTTTATGGTTTATTGTTAAGAGATCCTTGCTGTGAGAAATATAACACAATCTCCTGATTATAATTGAAAAGCCAATGACACGATATTAGTAACTTTATCCTGGAGGAGGGAAATCTGCAAGTCCCTGACTTGATGCAATCTACAATATTTTAACCAAGCTATAGAGTTTGTATGATTTGAGATTAAATTTTTTTGTGTTTTTTTACTATATGGCTAAACTTGTGTAAAGTAATTTTAAATAGGTGATAAATATCCTACAATGAAACATAAACAGAAACATAAATTATGCAAATAATGTGAAACAAATTGCTTTTAAAAGCCTGAAACCTAACAATCTCCACAACCTTAACATTTATTTTTTAAACACAAAATAACTATAAATAATATTAATCACTTCTCTAGTTGCTTTAGAGAGTTTTTGAAGAATAAATTACTGCCCATCACTGCAGCCCTTTCACATGCCAATCTTCAGCAAGTAACAAGAAATGAGGGTGATGCTCATTTAAAATGATTCTGGGTCACATTCAAGCATGGTAAATTTAGAACTACTAGCTGTTGGAGTTTCATAAAAGTACTTTCCAAATATTAGAAATCCATTTTTCATTTCATTTTTTTGCATTCCATTGCAAAACTTCTTTAGCCTAATTTTGATTTTATTTGTGATTTGGTTATGGATGCATTGTAATGTTTCTCAGTTCTCCAAATATATTATATCTTAGAGGATCTAGTTTTAAAGCCAAATCTTAATAAAATGTTAATACATTTTCATCACTTTTTACTATAATGTATTTTAAATACATATACCATACACATCAAAGGCAAGAATGCAATCTTAAGACTTTTATTGATGTACTTGAGCAGCTAAACTCCAAGAGTGAAGTGAATTTTACAACATACTCTTACAATAATTAAAACAAAACAGAATAGATTTGTGGTTCAGCATATTAGTAGTAGTTGCTACTAGTATTTACTTCTCTGATCCACACCAAGGGATCATTATCCATATATGGTAAAATATATACCAAATACCTTTTAATAGAAACGTCCTGAATCAATTACACCTTGCACTATGCAGCAATTGGCTTTGGGTAAAAAGGATTTTGGATATTTGACTACTCTTCTAGGAAACATTGGAAGTGTTTATTTTTTTGGTGACCACCTCAGTTTTACAGAGCTGAGGTCATGGCTTTGGAACAGATATCTCACACAGTTAATGGTAATCTCTTTTGTCACATCTGCTTTGTCTGTATTTGAGATCATTGTCCCGTTTGCACATCCAGCCGTGTGTAAGATTCAACCATCGAACCATTACTGTCAACATGAGATAAAAGAAAATTGTTCTATTGTTGAGAAACAACCCAGGAACCATTACAAATCAAACCAAATATAAATTAGAGGATGATTAAACTCTAGTGACAGTATAGACAGGGTACCAACAATCAGCCCCACGCCCCCCAACTCCATGCTTGACTAAAAATTTAATCTGTACACATGAACAAGACAACTATTTTCTGAAAAAAGACTGATGAGACACATTTTGAAGCATTTGTTCACACAGGTGAAATTAATGTCTTTTTACAAAACTCCAGATCTGCCAAGGAAAACCCAAGAACAATTAACTACCAAACATGGTGGTACCACCATCATGTTTTGGGCTGCTTCTCTACTATTGGTGTTGTCTTACAACTAAGTGGAGAGTACTGTATGACAAAGGAGTAACTTATCCACATTTATCCTCCTTCTAATTAACAAATAAATGGTACAGCTGGGGAGGGGAAAATAGTTTAGCAAATACCTTTATCTTCTTAAAGAAATCCAGGAGGATATTGGAGAAATTGTTTCCTAAAAAAGGTACTTGTTTATGCCAAAAATGGAGTGATTTGTTCCATAGCAGGCATAAGTTTTCTTCGAAAAGCAGAAGTTGATATAATGGGATATCTCAAAAAAAAAGTTTAGATTGCTCAAAAAGGCCTACAGGCACCCCTCAATCTGTCATAATCTGCCCTGATAGCTCACCTTAATTATTCATGTCTTTCACCTGCTTAACTCTGCCCAGCTCCTAATTATCACTCATCTCATCCACCTGCTGGTGTTGCTTGATATTCAGCTCAGTCCAGCTATGGGGGCCAGATCATTGATTTTTCTCTATTTGATGTCTTTAGGTTCTGTTTTGTTAGTTTGGTTTATAGTAACGTTCATGTCCCTGTTCCAATAAGGAGATTATTCTTGAGCTAGTGTCTTCAGGCGATTTTATTCCCTCACCAGTGGTGACAGTGTTTTAGTGTTTTTTGTGATTCTTATTCCGTTCCCTCTCACCCACTGGCCCTGTCTGTACCCGGCTGATCTGTTCGTCTGAGCCACCTTTGGACTATTGCTGGATTCTGCCTGTCTGTATCTGTGCGTTTCTGTTTGAGCGGGATGCTTGACGCATGGAATTCTGAACCTGTCTTTATTGGTGCGTTTCTGTCTAAGCTGGTTGCTGGAAGCATGGGGCTCTGAACCTTCCTTCACACTCTGTGTGGTTCCTGGAACTCTGGATCTGTCTTTTCCTGTGCAGGTCGGAACCCCTGACCAGGCTGAGGACTCCTGGATTGCAGAACTGTTCCGGTCTGATCTAAATCCCTGACCTGGATCGGATCCCTGCCTGCTCACTGCTGCATTGGAGACACTTGGATGGCTCAGAGCCGCATCTCGTCGGCAGTGCATCCTGCCTATGATTGAGAGGATGGACTGAACTGATAAACCAGGTAAGTGACTAATTTGGATTATCATCTCCTGTAAGAGGATCATGTTCACTTACCTGTGTTTCTCCCTCCAAAGTGTCAGTGATTCTGTTTGAGTCTGTTTTGTTTTAATATGTCAACATTTTGAACTTTCCTACTGACTGTCTCACCTTGAATACTGGGTCCATCTCTCCCGTTTTTTATGATACAATCATTTGGGAATGTATAGAACAACACCATATTGTAAATTGCTTTGAGCTTTTCTGGTAATGTCTGACAAATGTTGGCTCAGAGGGAAGAAAGAACAAGTGTTAATTAATTTCCAAAAAGTTTTGCATGTATTAAAACAGGTTCAATTTTTTTATGCATCCACAAAGCAGATCTTCCTATAAGGTGCAAAGTGTTTTGTGTGTTAACTCAGCAGCAAAAAGTTCATGCAAACTTTTTGTATGTGTGCATTTGGCGATCATATCCTAATGGCCAACTGTTCGGGCCAACTGTTCGGGTGTATCATGATAGCAGGATATGCAAAAGATTTTGAAATTAAATACTTACCATCCTCAAAGTAATTTATCAAACCTGAGAGTGAGTTTAGTGCAGGTTTTATGGGTGCAATTTCTTGTATGTATATTTGCTACGTATGTTTGAAAGTCAAGTTCAAACTTCTATATAAATACTTTGGGACACTAATGTAAAGTGCTAAATATACTAATATAAAGTACATATTATTGACCATTATTACCATTACTTGAAAAAAAAAAAACATTACCGCTAACTCTATGGCTTTGAACATCACTATAACTTAAGACCCCTCTAAAACTGCCAGTACATCATGCAATTTCCTCATTTAAATGGGGCTGACTCAACCTAAATGCACATCCAAAATTCTGCAACAGCCTGTTGATCAAACGCATCACTTATTTCACTTACACTTTATTTTTTGGCCCACAAAGCTTAGCTGTCTTTATTTGGATTCTTTTAAAATCAGGCTCTTAGTTGCTTCCAAAGGACGGCAATCCCAAACACCATAAAATTGATTTAGGAATAGATACAGCTGCTTCAGATTTCACCACCCCATTAAATCAGTCCTATAGAATGGCTTCAGATTGTGCCAGTGTGTTCAGGAGGTTGAAACTGAACAAATCCTAACCCTAAGATTCTAGGTGTAATCTGAATGTAATTCCAGTAGTTTTTAATCTCTTGTAAAAAAAAAAAAAGTTGAATGACGCTCATATTGCACAAGGCCTCCCCCCACCACGCACCCACCCCCACCCCAAAAAAAACAAAACAACACACCAAAATCAGTCAACTGAGGTGTTTATAAAGGCCACATTAAATGAGTGTGACTGAAACATGTGGAATTCACTCACAGTAAAGCTTTAAAATAAATTTTTTTAAAGAACGTAGGCTGTAAATAAAGTAGTTAAAAGGTATAAAGTAGGTAAATTGAAAGTTTCACTTTCCAAAGCGGCTTGTATCAATGATAAGCTGCATATTATCAGACATAAGGAGCCTATTAGAAGGTATAGGAGGCACAGTCTGAGGCCATTCCAAGAGACTGATAACGGCTAATAATGGCAATTTTATGGTTGATCACATAGGAAACGGATAGAGCAGAAAAACATTAGGTTTTTGGAATGGACCTAAAAGTGTAGATAAACTCCTCAATTTTTAAGAACAAACTATCCAGCCCTTAATTTTGTTGTTAGAGCTTGTAATATGTGTATTGAAGCACCCACCTTCTGGTAAAGAACAGTACCTTTGGCAGGTATTGTGCATTCCCATGGTTACTTTCATTTAATGCTTTGTATGAATTATCTGTTCTAATTTGTAGGCAAATAAGCCAGGGGATATTGATTAACTTTTGAGCTGTATAAATCTGTTGTAACCCGGTGCTGAGTTCATAATTACAGCACAATGCAATGACATTTTAGAAAAACAAGTTTGTTTAGGCTTTTTTACTTTAGGTAGGAACCATTTGCCCATTTGCATTACTATATCAGCTCCCTCTTTATTTCTTTTTACATGATGCTTGCATGTAATTACTAGTCTACAATGGAATAAGAAAAGATTGATTTTAACACACATTTCCTTTTGATAAAGAATACAGCTTCTCAGGTTTTAATCAATATGCACCATTATATAAGGAATAAGTCTATTGTTTCGAACGAAGACTAATGACGTTTCCACAGCTACAACAAATACAGCAGCATTCTTAATAAAGCCTTTACCTAATATTTTTCACATTTTGTTTCCAGACAACTTGGAATGCAAAGGATTTTTTTAAAGGTCTGAAGCATTTGATTATAAAATAAAAAATAAAAAAAATCCACCTTTATATTAATTAAACTAGCATTTGATTCATTTAAACCCCAAAAAAATGTAACTGTGAAGGTGTTAAATCTTTCACTGTGACTCACACACACACACAAACATGTTGTGTCACAATATCCTTGTGGGGACCTTCCATTGACTTCCATTCATTTCCCACTAATTTTATATGGCCTAACCGTGACCCTTGCCATAACCCTAACCATTACCGACACATACCTATCCCTAAACCTAACCTAAACTCAATTCACACCTTAGTCCTAAACCTAACCCCCACTCCAAGAAGAGAAACTTTCCTTATGGGGACCAGTTGTTGGTCCCCACAAGTACCTGTGAGTCCCCAAAATGTACCATATTCCTAGGAAATTGTCCCCACCAGGTTTTAAAGACATGGCCACACACACACACACACACACACAATGTTTTTCACTCCTTATTAAGACAACATATAGACATCTTCTGACTTCTTTCAACATATTTGCATCCAGTCTTTGCACTTAGTTTAATCCTAAATTCAACTTAAACTTAATTAACACCTTATTTAAAACCACATGTGGCTAATGATTTTGTAATAAACGAAAATCATGTCTAATTATCCATCAATCATTCAATCAAATACAATATTGTGCTTATGTAATTTATTGTATATATCTAATATAAGAAAACACTAATCTTGTAATCAAAAACAATACTTAAAGTAGGGTATTTTAAAAAGTCTTCCTTGTTATCCATGAGAGATATAGGAGTGGTTATTCAGCGGAATGAGATATATACCAAAGAATGATCAAAAATAACATTTTGGGGGAGTTGTGTACGCTTACTGACTGTATAATTGATTTGATTACAAAAAAATTGTTAATTTATGTATTACTTTTATTTGTTTAAACAAAAGGTGAGAAGAAGCACCCTTACCTGTCTTAACTACTGTCAGATGGCAGAACTGTAGAAAACTAATCACTGCTCTGAGTCATCTGAAGCCTACATCTGTATTGCCCTAAAAATGTATCTTCAGAAATAGCATATTTCCACCTCATTGCCTTATAAGATACTTTTCTTCCCTGCTCCCTTTTTGCTTGCATTCTTTTACTGTTAACTTTTATGTCTTTGACAAAATAACAGTTAAAAATGGACTAAAACTACTTTATAACAGTTACTCCCAAGGGTTACTTTATTGCTGTATAAGACCATCAACCTTTAATTATGCCACTTTCCATACAGAACTCCCATGGGGGGGCAGCTTTAGACATAAAAGTAATTTTATTCTCCATGCAGCCACAAATTTTCACATAATTATGCAATAACAAAAAAATCTAAACAAGAGGCATGCAGTTGCATGGTAATTTTATTTCTGAAAATCAGTTTTGTTTTGAAATTTATAATTTTTTTTTTCTTAAGACGTTTTGTTGTATTTCATATTTGACATAAAAGAACTGGACAAGCACACGTTTTTGCAGCAGCTAGAATCTCAGGAGCTGACACTCAATAACCCTAGTCTGCGATTTCTTCCTCATCTGGGCTCAAATACATATAACAGTTTCTCCTGCATTCAGTCCCCCTTTTTTTTACTAATCCCACATCTCTTCCAATTTTCCTAGTGACGGTTCCCTGTACTTTCAAATGTAGCTATTACATTGCTCTCATTTCCCATGGGCTGTAATTCAAACCTTTGTGAAAAATGAAAAATGGAACCATTTCTATAGATGCCTGAATATTTTGATCTGGATTTTCTTCACTGCCATAAATTCATATCTAAAATCTAATAGTACTGATTAAATTACTAATTATAAGTGTGATACAATTATTCATACACAGAACAAACGAATTTGCCAAAAAAAAACTACACTTATTGCACTTTTTCTAGGAAAAAAAAAAAAAAACAGAGAAATTTTTGCATGTTTGGGTTCAGTTGTGTCACAATGATGGATGTTTAACAGACATTAAAACAAGCCACTGGTAGGTAGAGGTGGATGCAAAAATAAAGAGGTTCAATATTTCACACAGAGGCATAAAAACAAGGTATAAAAAATTTTTAACATCAGATGAGGAGGAAAAAGCTAAATTAATCCTAAAACAGGAAGGAAGATGATGGAGAAGAGGTGTGTTGAACATAGAACATAGCATAGAGAAAGCTAAAATCAAGCAACTGAACCAACTAACTGAGGTGAATGAAGACATAAACAATATACTAAAGAGAACCAATCAGTGGAAAAACAAACAGATGAGACTAATTAGCAGTGTGGGAGAAGCTGAGTGAGAAAACAGACAGAGGACATCATATAGAATAAATGCCAGAAAAGTAATTAAAGACAGAGACCAGAAACCCTAAACAGAACACAACATGAGACAGGACAAAGAATCTAAAAACCAACAGCAGGTGGAGAAACTGGAAAATGGTACGAAAGCCAGAAGCAAAGAGAACAGAATGAGCTAGAAGTAAAGCGGGAAATTACCAATAAGAAATAAGTTATTGAAATAATGTTTCAAGGGTATCGCTACATGTTCTTCACAAAGACAGTAATATTTTCCTATATGTAAAAGCAGCTAAATTTCATCCGCTGCTGCACGCACAAACTGAACCCTCATCAAGGCCGCTTTTCAGCATTAGAAAGGATGTTTCTGTTTTAATTTTGTGACCTGTTTAAGGTAGAAAGGCAGAAGAGGTAAATGTTTTGTTCATCCTCCAGAGGGTTCAA